GATTTGGGTTATTATTTCGTTATTAGAAAGTTGTTAAAGTTGTGAAAGCATTCTGAACTGTACTTGTGAGTTGAAAGATGCAGGGTTAGTGGTAAAAGAAAGTATATGGTAAGACTCTGGTGAAAGTTGGATTTTTGGAAGGAATGAAAGAGTGGGTGTCAGGGCCTCGGGTATAAATGGTCGGGGGCTGATACGTCACTAGTGGAGTATCGAGGCCTCGGGTATAGATGGTCGAGGGTCGATACGAGGAGTTCTTTGGAGGGAAGACTATTGGGGCCTTGGGTACAAATGGTCAAGGGCCAATAGATGGTGAAGTCATCGGGGCCTCGGGTATAAATGGTCGAGGGCCGATGCAGCAGGGTCGGGGCTYTGGGTATAAATGGTCMGGGGCCGACTCTACTCGGAAGGATAACCGTGGAAGGTTAGGATAGCGGTGATGAACGTAAAGGTATTTGAGATGTTAGGGGGTCTAAAGGTTGCTTGTTAACATGTTTTTCCTAGTTGTGGTTGTCACTAAATTTTATGGAATGTGTTACGTTTGAATGCATAATGTGTTGAGAAGCATGACTATGAATGTTTCATGATATGGTTGAGCATGATGTGTGCGTGTGTTGGCGAGGGCTACTTACGGAGTATATTTTATATACTCATCCCCCCCTCTATATTGTTTGTTTCAGGTGAAGGACTCGTGGGCGACCATGGTGATGGGACGGAGGAGACATGACGAGCGGGGACCATAGGCTGCTTAGTCACTCTTCCTTAGTTTAAGTGATTGGTTAAGACCTTATGTTATGGTCAATAAACTTTTGTCGTTTTGATTAATTGGGAGGGTCCGCCTTTGTTGTTAATTTCATTTTGAGAATAGGTGACTATCTTAGTTCTATTCCATTTATTGAGTTTTGCCTAGTTTGGTTAATAAACTTGTTTTGTGGGGTGGTCCACGAATGTTGTCGAATGCTACTCTGTGAGATTGATTTATTGTTAAATTGATGAGAATTGGGACTTGATATATATACTTGTTTGCATAAGGGGTTGGCATGCCGTATTTGGGGGTTAAGTTTAAGTAGTTGGGTAGTTAACGTGACCTAAAAGCGTGTGGGAAATTCTGGGTCGTTACAATTGGTATCAGAGCGGAGTTGTTCCTGTAGGCTGTCCTAGAATCTAGGTCTTTAGTGTATGGTCCTTGTCAGTCTCCTCGTCATCACCAGGTACGCTTCCTAGTGCTGTTGTTCGATCATGAATGTTTTACATTGCTTATGGTTGAGATATTATTATTGACTGATATTAGATAGGTCGGCGTGTTTTCCTTGGTCCATTATATAGACTTTGCTTGAACTTTGCACTTGTGTTGTGCCTCGGTTAATGCGTTAATGACCTTGGTGCTCTGTTCTCTGTTCCTTTAGACAATGGCTTTTCGACGGAACACGAGAGCTCACAACTACGAGGATCCGAATCCTAGGGGTTAGGAAGCGGCGGATCTAAATGTTCCCCCGGCAGTTCCTGAAGGGGTAGCACCCCCGGTCCCTCAGGCAGCACCTCAGGGAGTTCCCCAAATGAATCCTCAGGTGGCATTACTAGCTGAGGCATTGCAAGTATTGCTGGATAATGCGAATGAAGCCGGTGGAGCTCAGGTGCAGCAGCCTCGCCGGGCACAGATTCAACAAGAGGAGGTTCAGTTTATCAGGGATTTCAAACGCTTTGGACCACCCGTTTTCAACGGGGTGAGTGAGAGGCCTACTGCGGCCGAGGAATGGGTCCGGGAGTTGGAAGCCCTTTATGTGTATTTGGGATGCTCCGACGAATTCAAGGTCCGGGGAGCAGTGTTTATGCTTTGGGGAGAAGCAGTAAATTGGTGGGAGTCGGTGGCGGCAGCGGAGGATCACGCCAATGTACCCGTCACATGGGCGAGGTTTAAGGACCTACTCTATGAATACTATTTCCCCGTGACTGTCAGGAATGAAAAACGGGCAGAGTTTCTCCGTCTCACTCAAGGGAGCCTAACTGTGGCCCAACACGAGAGGAAATTCACTGAGCTGTCCCGTTTTGGAATGCAATATATTCCTACTGAACAATTAAAGATTGACAAGTTCATTGACGGTTTGCGTAGGGAGATCAAGGGGCTCATTATTCTCAAGGAACCAACTACTTATGCAGCGGCGGTCAGGTGTGCGTTGGTTATGGACAAATGTCTCGAAGAGCCTCAGTCTCAGTAGGTGATGGGCTCCAGCTCGGGGGTCAAGAGGAAATTTGCATCGTTCTCCTCCAGTCAACCCACAAGAGGACACCAGCATCTTGTGCAAAGGCAGACTGCTTCTCCAGTGTGCCCCTCTTGTAAGAAGAGCCATGCTGGACCATGTTGGGCGGGAAAAAGAATTTGTTACAGGTGCCAGAAGGAAGGACATTTCGCAAGGGAGTGTCCGATTACCGGCTCGAATACCCAAGCTTTAGGCCAGAGGATCCCTGCGACAGTGGCAGCTCAAGGTGGGACCCACAGGGCGCGCGTCTTCGCTCTCACCAGGGGAAATGTTGAGCATGCCGAGGCGGTGGTCACAGGGACTGTTTTAGTGCTTAGTATGCCTGCTTACGCATTATTTGACTCTGGATCTAGTCATTCTTTTATTGCATCTACCTTTGTTCGACATGCGAACCTAGAGCTAGAATCGTTAGGCTTTTTGTTGTCAGTATCTACACCGTCAGGTTCTGTGTTGGTCACTAGTCAAGTGGTGAAAGGAGGCCAGCTCTCTTTCGATGGTCAGACCTTGAAGGTGAAATTAATCCAACTGGACATGCAGGATTTCGATGTGATACTAGGCATGGATTGGTTAGCTGCCAACCGGGCTAATATTGATTGCTCGAAGAAGGAAGTTAGCTTTCGCAGCCCTCCGGACAAAACTTTACCTTTAAAGGAGTCAAAGTCGGGGTCCTGAGGGTGGTGTCGGCACTGAAGGCCAGCCATCTTCTCCAGCGTGGTGCCTGGGCCTATTTGGCTAGCGTTGTGGATGTTAGGAAGGTTGTGCCGAGCATCGAGGCGGTTCGTGTGGTTAATTAGTTCACTGACGTGTTCCCTGAGGACCTCTCCGGCTTGCCTCCGTCTCGCGAAGTGGACTTTTGTATAGAGTTGCTGCCAGGGACGGCTCCCATCTCGAAAGCACCTTATCGCATGGCTCCGGCAGAGTTGAAAGAGCTGAAGCTACAGTTGGAAGAATTACTCGACAAGGGTTTCATCCGCCCAAGCGTGTCCTCTTGGGGTGCACCCGTGCTCTTTTTTAAGAAGAAAGACGGTTCTATGCGGCTTTGTATAGATTACAGAGAACTAAACAAAGTTACGGTTAAGAATAAATATCCCCTACCACGGATCGATGACCTTTTTGATCAGCTTCAGGGAGCGAAAGTGTTCTCGAAGATAGACTTGCGTTCGGGGTACCACCAGTTAAGGATAGAGGAGGCCGACATTCCAAAGACAGCGTTCAGAACCAGGTATGGGCACTATGAGTTTATCGTGATGTCATTTGGACTCACAAATGCTCCGACAGCCTTTATGGAGCTAATGAATCGGGTCTTTAAGGATTATTTAGATTCATTCGTCATTGTGTTTATCGATGACATCCTGATATACTCCAAGACTGAGCAGTGTCACGAGGAGCATCTCAGGCAGGTTTTGACCACATTACGAGAAAACAAGTTGTATGCAAAGTTTTCAAAGTGTGAGTTCTGGCTGAACAAAGTGGCTTTCCTAGGTCACATAGTCACCAGGGAGGGTATTGCAGTAGACCCCGCCAAGGTAGAGTTAGTTAGCAATTGGCCAAGACCTAGTTCAGTTACAGAGATTCGTAGTTTCCTCGGCTTGGCTGGCTACTACAGGAAGTTCATCCAGAATTTTTCTCGGATAGCGGCACCGTTGACGCAGTTGACTCGTAAGAATGCTACCTTCACTTGGAGTAGCGAGTGTGAGGAGACCTTCCAAGAACTAAAGAAGCATTTGGTGTCTGTACCGGTGTTAACTGTCCCCGATGGGACGGGAGGCTTGGTGGTTTACAGCGACGCCTCGCGAAAGAGCTTGGGATGTGTGCTGATGCAACATGCGAAAGTTATAGCTTATGCCTCTCGACAACTGAAGGTGCATGAGCTTAACTACCCCACTCATGACTTAGAACTAATAGCAGTTGTCTTCGCCTTAAAGTTGTGGAGACACTACCTTTACGGAGAAGGAATTGAGGTCTTCACGGATCATCAGAGTTTGAAGTACCTTTTCACTCAGAAGGAGCTTAATTTAAGACAGAGACGGTGGCTAGAGTTGGTGAAGGATTATGATTGAGAGATTAGTTACCATCCAGGTAAAGCAAATGTGGTGGCCGATGCTCTTAGTAGAAGGGCGGCAAGTGTGGCATCTCTTGTAACGGTCTGCAGTCCAATACACAGTGAGTTGGAAAGCTTGGAGGTGGAGCTAACGGTGGATGATGTCTCCGCGTTGTTGGCTCGACTCTCAGTGGAACCTAGCCTGAGACAGAGGATCATTGTTGCCCAAAAGGAAGACCCTAGCTTGGCCAAAGGCTTTAGTATGGTGGGCCATAGGGATTTCACTCTCTCGGGTGAGGCAACTTTGCCTCTTCGCGGAAGGTTGTGTGTGCCAAAAGATTATTCTTTGAGGAAGGACTTACTGGGAGAGGCACACAATACTCCATACTCGGTCCATCCAAGAAGCACCAAAATGTACCAAGACCTTAAGAAACATTATTGGTGGCATAACATGAAGAGGGAAATAGCTCAGTTTGTTAGCAAGTGTTTGACGTGCCAACAGGTAAAGGCTTCAAGACAGAGACCTGCGGGATTGCTGCAACCTTTGAGCATACCAGTTTGGAAGTGGGACGATGTGGCTATGGACTTCATTACAGGGCTACCAAGGACGGTTAAGGGATTCACTGTGATATGGGTAGTTGTAGATCGTTTGACCAAGTCCGCTCACTTTATCCCCGGCAAGGCCACATATACCATAGAAAAATGGGCGGAACTGTACTTGCAGGAAATTGTCAGGCTACATGGTATACCGGTATCCATAGTGTCCGATCGCGACCCGCGTTTCACCTCGACTTTTTGGCAGAGTTTACACAAGTCCCTGGGCACTAAGTTGGACTTTAGCACGGCGTTTCACCCCCAAACCGATGGTCAGACGGAGCGTGTGAACCAGGTTTTAGAGGACATGCTCAGAGCTTGCATGTTAGACTCAAGTACCTCTACCTAATAGAGTTCACCTATAATAACAGTTTTCAGGCCACGATTGGGATGGCCCCATACGAGGCACTGTATGGGAAGGAGTGCCGGTCTCCGGTGAATTGGGACGAAGTCAGAGAAAGAGTTCTCTTGGGATCGGATTTGGTGCAGGCGACTAACGGCGCCATTCAAAAGATCAGGGGAAAGATGCAAGTTGCACAAAGCCGTCAAAAGAGTTATGCAGACGTCAGGCGTAGGGAGCTCGAGTTTGTGGTAGGTGAGCGGGTGTTTCTTCGTGTGGCACCCGTAAAGGGGATTTTACGATTCGGGAAGAAGGGCAAGCTCAGTGCAAGGTTCATTGGGCCTTTTGAAATTTTGGAACGTATCGGCCCAGTCGCGTATAGGTTGGCCTTGTCACCGTCGTTGGCAGCGGTTCACAATGTGTTTCACGTGTCTATGCTGAGGAAGTACATTCATGACCCTTCACACATTTTGGACCCTGAACCATTACAACTAGATGAGTCTTGTGCTATGAGGAGGTACCCGTCCAGATTTTGGCAAAAGAAACCAAGTTGTTGAGGAATCGGGCAATTCGCCTGGTTAAGGTTTTGTGGAGAAACCACCAAGTGGAAGAAGCTACTTGGTAGCGGGAGGACGACATCAAGGCAAGGTACCCTGAACTGTTGGAACAGTAAACTTTCGGGGACGAAAGTTTTTTAAGGAGGGAAGTCTGTAACGCCCCGAGTCCCTCAGGTTAGTTAGTCTCGAATCAGGAGATTTTTCATTTAATTTTAAATTGATTGTTAATTAAATTTATTGATTGTTAATTAAATTTATTGATTGTTAATTAAATTTATCTATATTTAACGGGCTCTAAGAAAAAAAAATCTAATTAAATTAATAATTACCAAACTCTGTATGTTGGGTTTTGTCTTAAGGGGAATGAACTCCTTTCTCTTGGGCTTGGATGATT